GCGCGGGAGGCGAGGGCGCGGGGACGCGCGCGGCGGGCGCCCGCGGGGCTGCGGACCCGGCCCAGGGGGCGTGTGCCCCAGACGGAGCCTGACCGCGGCCGTGTCTGGACGCCGTTCTGTGGGGTCGGCCGGAGTCCAGCCTCGGTGAGCAGCCTTCGGGTTCGTGTCACAGCAGCTGGGCGAGCCTGGTCCCGCTCACATCCGGGGCTGGCGGGACGGCCTGCGCTAGTGGCTCACAGGTGTGCGTCTCAGGTGGACGCAGGGCGGTTCTTAACCCTGGCTGCACCCGGGAGAGCTTTGAAACGATTCCAGTGTCCAGCCGGTTCTCAGAGTAGTTGAAGCCAAATCCAGATGGGGCCTGGACATGGAGTATTTTCAAAACTGAAGTGCTTTGGATACGCAGGGAGGAGTGCGAACTTACGGAGGTAGCCAGCTTATTGGATGTTTAGGGATGAAATAGCACAAAGAGCTGAAAGTATTGATCTGCCACTATTCCAGATGTCTATGTGCCCGGCACTTGGGCCTCATAAAGATTCCATGAATTACTGTTATCTCTATTTCACAGTGTGGAAATCGAAGCTCAGGGAACTGAGAGAGTGCTTTGAGGGCTCCCTGCAGAGAGGTCCAGCCCAAGAACCCATATTTCCAACTGCGTAGACTGTGTTGAAAACGTACCTAGACTAGGTGGTCATGTTTTTGTTAAAATGGGAATAGTTGCTTTTAAAAATTTTTTAAAGAAAGATTTTTTTCTATAGGGCGTATGTGCTTGCCAGTCGCCTGAGGGCCAGCGTGTTTATATACATGTATTCCTACTGTTAATATTTTTGCCTGGCAAGTTTTGCATGTATTAAACGGAGTGGAAACACTGAGGAAGAGTTGGTAAGGCCTATGGGCAACTTTTTCAGGTTTATTGTGAAGAGAGGATTTCAGGAATGTGAAGAGGATAGGTTCCCTGAATGTACCGATATTTTGTTTTGTTTAAACATATGTATAAAACGAAGGGCCTAGTCCAGAAGATGCCGGTATTTTACAAGTATTTACAGAAATAGCCATAGAAGCCGGGTAGGTTGCTGGACATCATATAATTTTGGTGGTCACAGTGTAGAGGATGGCAGAAGTTGTGCCATGAACATTTTGGAGGAAGAAAACAGTTCCTCTGGTCCTGAGTCCCGAAACCTTGCATTTCCATTTTCTTTCTCCCCTGATTTTTTTGTCTCCTAGTCATTTGGATAAAGTTGTGGTGGGGAAACTGCTAGATAATCCATTTGTTCTGAGAATGTGTTTATTGCTAACTTCTTTAAGAATGTTCTTCCAAAACTCACAGTGAACAGGATTCTCCCAGAAAACGCAGGATTCCAACTGCAGTGTTTCTGTGACCAGCACAGAATGGTGTCACTGAGAAGTTTCTTGACATTTCTACGAATGATTGCTCTCTAATACTGTTGGCTACGTGGCAGACATGGGTATATTATTTATCACATTTTAGGGCTTGGGCTCAATTACTTGGCAAGGAGAGGCTCTAGACTCACCTGCAGACCGGCTATGGCGTGTCCTTGGTCTATTTTGGAAAGAAATCTGTCGCCCTCACTCCCTCCCTCCCTCCATTGTCCACCTGCATCCCCCTTACCACCAGAGACTTTTCTCCAGCCTTACCAAGTCACTTGGGGTTCTTTTGCACAGCTCTGCTTAGTTTGCTCTTCTTTTTGGGAATTTCCCCTGAATTCGCCTCAGAAACTATTTTAAAAATACCCTCCTTGTGTCATCTCGATGTCTTAGATATGCTTGTCTCATTTCATTTATCACAGCCTGTAGTATTATTGTATTTGTTCCATTTTTGGACACCTCCTCCAAACTGGGCTCTTCAAAGGTGGGAGTGGTGATTTGTTTTTTTTAATGTATATCACTGGCACAGTAAACACTTGTGTTTACTACATTGATCCCAATTAAATTTACTCCCATTTGCATTGCATTATCTGTGTTGGTGTTTGCCAATGTAACCCATCTTCATTCTGAACTGTCTCTACCTTGTTCTCTGCTGCAGCTGCTAGCTACTTGACTAAAAGCATACGTCTTGACACAGAAAACACAGAACGCTGTTAATACAGTCTTACAAAAGAAATCCGAAGGAAAGGGCAAAATAAGATTGTTTTCCCTTGTTCCCAATTTGATTATTTACTGGCCAATTGGACAGTGTGGATTTTCTTGGTTACTAATAGACCCTAGGTGAGGTGGTTGATGTTGTCAATATTTTTCAGTTTACCAGGGGTCTCCAAAAGTTTGGGGGGAAAAATGGAATTACATTGATTTGGGTGTAAATAATTGTGCTAGCCATAATTGTTTTTTCATAATATGCATTTACCATGAACTTTTGAAGATACCTCATAGCTGGGAAGGTAGAAATAGCATTTCATTGTGGCCAGCAGGTGGTGTAATGTTTTAAGGTATAGGACACTCACATGGTCAACCACAGTTGGAGTCCTGGACTTGGTGGCTTGAAACTCAGGCCGGACATGTGTGTGTGCTCAAAATCCTGAGAGGAGAATGGATGAGAAGGGACTGTGGGATGGCCACCCACCTGACCTCCTAGGGCAATTTCTCACTTTCTGCCTGTCTTTTGATTTCAGTGAGCACACGTACCCTAAAGCAAAAATCTCTCTTTAAAAATTAAAAAAAAAAATAGCACTGCATTACCTATGTACATACTTCTATATGTATACTTCATTACATTTCATGATTCTTAATGTTCACATTTATTATTACGGAAGTATTTGTAGAGCTGCACTGTCCCGAGAGCTTTTAAGATGATAGAAATGATTCGTGACACTGCACTATCTGGTACAGAAGTCACCAGCCACTTGAGGCTGTGAGCACTTTAAATGTGACCAGTGTGACCTAGGAACTGAATTTCTAAGTGATTTAAATATGAATAGTCATAGTGGCCAGTGTATTGGACAGCACAATTATAGAGGACTTGCTTGTGTTTAAATCTAGTATTGGACAGGTAAACACGTAAGCTAGGATATTCTGCCTTTAAAAGAAAAACCTTGATTCATCTAGAACTTAATACCATGCTGCCCTTTCATAGACTCTAAGGTGCTTCCTGGGTGACATATTTGGCTTTCCTATTATAGAGCATTGATCTGTGTGTTCTGCGAACTTTCCATAAAGTTCATGTGATCGCCCCTTTTCTGGAGTAGAGGGATGTGGTTAGGAGTAGTTTTGATTATGAGTCGTTATTTACAAATGGACTGAGCCCTATTGTGTATAAACCAA